TGATTATGAATTCTTCCTCTACCCATCGATCCGAAAGGTAATTTCTTCTTTGCTCCTTTAATTTCGATAGCGACATTAAAATATGCTCGCTGTTTGGAAGCTACCTTAGATTCTTCTTATTCTTATTAATTTTTGTTATGCTTGCTTAGTTTGGAAAAGTGTGGAATAGGAAGTCGAAGGACCCGGGCTATAATTTCAGCTCTGCGATTTACTTCACCGTGAGACTGTGGGCAAGCCGTTTTATCTCTCTAGACCTCAGTTTCCTCATTTGTAAAATGAAGGAGTTGGACAGGGTAACCTCTAAGCTCCTTTCCAGTTATAAAACTATGAGTCTATGATCCCATTTCTGCACTAAAATCTTCCTCTGATGCTCCAACATGACCACCCTGAGCTCCCGAAGGCAATGCCAAGGAAGGGCAAGCTCTGGCAAGTCCTAAGAGGCTGGAAAGATTTCTAGTACTGGCCGCACAGTGGACTGGGTGGGTGTCTCCTGTCTGACTGAGATCTATCTGGTTAATGTGCAAACTTCATCACCAGAAGGGAGGCAAAGGCCAATCATATTTCCTCTAGCCACAGCAACAAATTCGACAGCCTACTAAGTTCCTGAAGGGGTGCCACGTGAATTGGAAGAGGGAATCTCCACTCGGCTGAAGCCACAGATCTTTTGAAGTATCGAAGCATAATTATTTTATATCTGGGATGAATTTGGCAGAGACCCATTAAATCGATGCTGTTATTACTATTAGCAAGAATAACAATAATCACCAAGAAGGCAATAACAATAATGGTCATAATAACAATAAATCACCGAGATGACCATGATAATGGCCACAATAACTATAATAGTGATTATCTTGCACGTGTGCTCTGAGGTTAGGCTGGTTTTTCTTCTCGCTGCGGCTTGAATCTTAAAATGTGTGGTTTGCTCATCTCCTTCCCTCTCACCAAACAATCCAAGGGATAAAAGAGCTTTAATAATCTCCATTTCAGTGGCAAAGGCGCGGTAGGAAATTTTACTTTTGTGCTTGCTTCCCTAGCTTAATTATAAATGTTAATTTGAAGGAAAAAAAAAGAAGGCTGTGGGGCGAATTATCACAAGAATTCTGTAATTAGAGACTAGCCCACGTAATTACCCACCACTAAGTACTCACAGACTTGACCATAATTCAGGCAGTGCGGTGGAGCAAAATGAGTTTGGGATTTGGTTAGAGCTGAGCCTGGCTCTGGCCTTGAAAACTGTGTGACTCTTGGCAAGTAATTTAATTTTGTGAAATTAATGCCTAAAATTTGTACAATAATGCTCTCCTCACTTACCTCACAAGTTTATTGTGAGAGATGCACTTTATAAACCTTAAAGGGCTACCTTTATAGATAAAGGTGAGTTGTTATTATGACAAGGTGTGTAAGCCATATCTTGAGGGGCAGCTTGGCACAGTGGCAGAGCCTGGATTTTTGAGTTAAAGACTTGGGTTCAAGTACCACTTCTGTTAATATAGTAGATGCGTCGTCTTGGGACAGTCAAGGAAACCTCTTAGGGCATGAGCAGGGGGCGGTCTATATTCTTAGAGGAAATTTCTCCTGGAGGGATAGCTCCATATGCTGACAGTGCAAAGGGGGAAATATGTAAGATGTATAGTGTTAGTATAGGACCCATACCTTCAAAAAGATATAATGAAAGGAAAAGGGTTCTCTGAGGGACCCTTAGCAACCACCAAGTTCAAACTCTTCAATATATAGATGAGGAATATGAGGGCAGAAAAGGGAAGTAATTCGGTGACAGCTGGACTAGAAGCTATGAAGCTTGACTCACACCCCGACCCCCACTAATATTTTTCACTTAAAATTAGTTTTCATAAAGGCTTATGTGAGAAAATAGTTTTAAAAGGTAGAAACAGAGAATAACAACAAACAACAACAGCTGTGTTCAAGTCCCATTCTTGGTACCTAAGTGTGACCTTGGGTAAATTGCTTACTCTCCCAGTGGCCTAAGCAGGTGACAATCTGCATTGGTAGAGAGTATTTCTCACCAGGAGCTCCCTACATTGATGAATTGTATATCGGGTCTAATAAAAAGAAAGAAGCACTGACTCCCTCTCTCCCCTCTTCTGTCTTCAAGCCTTTTAAAGGAACGCCTTAGGTCTCCTTGCATTCTGATTTAGGTTCTCACTAAATACACAAGAAATCCTGGAAACAAAAGTGAGCATTTTGAATTCATTCCCTATTTCAAAACCTGGTAGATTCCTTAGTAGTTTACAACTTTCCTCCCCCTCAAGAACACACGCTTTGCAGCCCCCATCCCTACCCCCAAACCAGACACTCTCTGTCCTGTAACCAATTTCTCTTTTATTTCTACAGGTTGACTCCAGAATAAATGCAGATTCACTGTCAGGGAAATCAAGAAGTCATTTCTTTTCTTTACCTAGTGTAAAGTCTTAAATCAGCTACAACTGGCTCCAAACGAGTTCATTCTAGGTCTCTTCTACCTCGCCACTCTCATTACCTTTGCTTTCACCACAGGGATAAAGTACAAATTTAACCCCCCTCCCACTCCATTGAGTCTGTCCAAAGCTACACGAATTGTAATGATGGCCTAAGAAAATCTTGATGCTCATGCTTCGGAGAGGAATTTTTTTCTTAAAGAAACAATAGTGGCCTATCCTTAGATTCTCTGCCTCTTAGGTTTTTCCCTCTCTGTCCAAAATCCAGCCTCTTTCACTCTTTCCTTCCTCTCCTTTTGGGCAAAACTGAATGATTTCAAACTCCCTGCTATGTTATGAGCTTTTCTCACAACAATCCTAACGAGCTGGGTAGAGCAAGTGTTGTTATCCCTATTCTATAGATTCAGAAAATGAGAAATTAAGAAATGGTCAGAGGGGTAGTTCCAGGAACAGCTGGTAAGCAAACTCAGGTCTTCTGACTCAAAGTTGAATGCTTTTCCCATTCTACTTCATTTTGTCAATGAAAATTAAGCTATTATATGTGTATAGTTCACATGCAAGTATGGAATGAGATGTTGTATGCTTGTTTGTCTGGGAGGCTAATGTCCTTTAGCTGATGCAACCTGTGTGACCACGGATAGACAAGTCAGTTTAGGTAACCAGGGTTTTTTTAACCTTTACTGTGTCAATGATCCCCCTTTGGCAGTTTTGTGGAAGTATGGACCCCTTCTCAGAATAATGTTTCTTAAACAGTCATAATTTAAGGAAATGCTAACCCTTAGTTAGATACTAGTGATAAATATGTTCTTCCCCCAGCCCCCCATCCGAAATCTACAAATCCCTTAAAATCTATCCCCAGACTTGACTGTGGACCCCAGGTTAAGAGCTCTTGATGTAAGCAATTCTAGACTACAGTTACAGTCAAGCTGCTGTCTGCATTGGTGGATGGAATTTCCATGCTGGAAGTTTGCTAAATGGATGAAATCATAGACCAGGACATAGAACACACACACACACACACACACACACACAGACACAGAGTTGATAATGTATGTGTTACTATATCCAGAAACAAAACTACTTACAACTATCTATATTCCAATACTGTATGTAGGCAATAAATTTTTTCTGAAGGTAACTAGTTCACAGTAAACAGAGTCAAAACATAGAGGCAAGAGCTGTTTGTAAACACTTGTAATGAAAGGCATATTGGATTCTAGGGGTTGACCCAAACTTTGCATTTCTCTGTGGATATTATCATTTTTGTTTGTATCGTTCCAGGAAAACATTAGTGGTGTTCACAAAGATGGCCAGTTTAGCAATCCACAACGTCCTACTCCCTTCTGACCTCCATCTCTTTCCTAAGCAGTTTTTCACCATTCAAAAAAAAAAAAAATCCAAACCAGAATGCTGACTAGTATACTTGTGATGCTGTCTGACAAGAAGCAGAGTTCTACCACTCACAAGTTAGCTGGTCTGAAGACAGAATCTCAATTGAGTCTCAGAAACAAAATTTTAGATTCGAAAAAATTTCTCACCAGAAACAAAAGTTAGGTCCCTAAACTTTCTAGGGGATCAGAAAAAAGCCTTTTTGCACTAACTAGAGGTCAGATCTTTTATTTCTGTTTTGTTTGTTAGAAAGACCATTTCTTTGCCCCTATTTTTTTTTTTTTTATTAGGGCAGTTAGGTGGCTCTGTGGATAGACTTCAAATCTGTCCTCAGGCACGTACTAGTTGTGTGACCCTGGACAAGTCACTTAACCCTGTTTGCCTCAGTTTCCTCATCTGTAAAATGAGCTGGAGAAGGAAATGGCAAACCACTCCTGTATCTTTGGCAAGAAAGCCCCAAACAGAGTCATGAAGAGTCAGATACTACTGAAAATGACCGAACAACAACAAAAATTCTTTTCATTGCCTTTTGATTGCAGTCACCCCCCCTTCACATCCTCACTTCTTATCTGTTTAACAGTAACCACTCAGGACTGAAGGAGGAAAAGACACTACAATTGCCTTTCAATTCAATTCTAACTTTTATTGAGAGCCAGTTGTGTGCGATACCTCCTGTTCTAGGAGCAGCGGGGGAGACACCAAGTCAGCCTGTTTTGGTTTTTTTTCCCCCCAGCCCCATTTTCTCACTTTTATTTTGCTGTCTCAGTCTCTCTGTCTCTTTGTTCCTGTCCCAGTCCCTGTCTCATGGCTTTCCAATTGCACCACAAACTCAGCTTTCCCGAAAGGCCAACAGCTGTGGTTGTCGGCTTTCGAATCTATTTTGTATGGAAATGAGACTTCTAGGCACTGCAGCAAGATTTCGACCTAGTCTAAGCTTCTCCTTGATTAACTCCCATATGCCTTTTACAATCTAGTTGAGGATACGTTCCCTCACTCTTGTGTACCAAAGCTAAAATAGGTCTGGCGCTGAAATGGCGCGAGTTGAAGTAGAGTAATGAACAGGGGGGGGCCAAGGTTGCACCCTCAAAAACCTTCATGTTTCAGTAAAGATCAAACTACAGACTGCTGTCAGAGACATTTATTACAATGTTAAAGCCACGAGGAGCAGACACCGTATAAAAATGCCCGTTGTCCCGGGTAGACAAAGAAAGTTCGAAGGAAGCTGCCAATTGTTTGTTTGCTGGAATGAATTCATGTCACAAACCACCTGGGTGAAAAGGCAAGAAAGCCATTACAACAAAATAAAACAAAGCAACAGGCTGCATGCATCCCTTCGGCAGATGCTCCTGAGCAGTCTAGTGACCAACAGCTCCCCAGGGAACAGCTCTCTAAGCAAACAGGCACCTGGGAGAACGTTGCGGGTTGGACCCAGTGTCTTTGATCCCTTTCCAGTTGCCTGGTCGGATTCTCCCTGCACCCCGCGCCTTCTTCCCTCATTCACGAAGAGCACCCTGAGTATTTCGTCCTTCTAGAGCCCCACAAAAGAATTCTGTACCAATGAGGGCACAGGAATAGTGATGGAGCACATTAAAAGTTGTAATTTGCTGGGCGCTGCGCAAGGGCGGGATACTCTGGGGCAACCTTCAGTGGAGGTCCTGGCCTCCTCGGGACAATGCCTCGAGGCAATGCTCCGCACTGTCTCCTTCTCCCTTAAGTACCCCTCATCCCAACACACAGACTCACAACCGTTTTTTTCTCCCCATTGCACAGTTTGGGTTATTTCTACCTTCCTTCTGGTCCTCCACACCCCCCACCGCTCAGGCCTGGCCGCCAGGGCACCCTTTGCCCGATGGAATAGGGGTGGGGTCTGTGTTGCCCCAGTTTCTCTTGGTGCCTGGGGGGGGGGTGTTCTTTTTTTTTTTTTTTTCACATGGCCGACACGAACCTTTCCACGTTGCTGGAGTAGGCAGAGTGCCGGACGTGGTAGGCGTTGGGGCCGGTCCCGAGCTGCCCGCTCGGATTGTAGCTGTGCGCCAGCGAACTGATCTGGCCAGGGGACATGCGGCCATAGAAGTCCACAGGGTCGTTGGCCCCCGAGGGGGAGGTGGACATTGCCAGCCGGCTGGACGCCCCAAACAGCTGGCTGCTGTTTCCCTGAGGATATGACCCGTGGTTCATGGGCAGGTGACCGTTGGGAACCGGATAGGTGTAGGCCATGGGGTTGGACGGCCGAGGCAGCACCCCCGCGGGCCCGGCTCCGCCGCCCCCTCCGCCTCCCCCGCTGCACGCCGGGTTGCTATAGGAGGCAGCGGCCGCGGCGGCTGAGGCCCCGAAGGAGCAGGAGGCTGCGGCGACCGAAGGCGCCTGGCTGAGGTCCGGGCTAAGCGGGCGTCCGAGCGCCGGCGGCGGCGCGGGCTGCTGCTGCAGGAGGTCTCCAGGACCGTGCACCAGGCTGTTGATGCTGAATACCCGGCATTGGCCAGGGGACGAAGCCGGGTAGTAGACGGAGGAGTGGGGGCCCAGCGTCTGGCCATAGCCCGCTGGGCTCATGGCGGCCGCCACGTTGGGATACACGGAGCCAGGGTAGGGAGGGCGCGCCACTGGCACGGAGCTGGGGAACATGCCCGCAGCGGCTGCGGCGGCGGCCGCCGCCGCCGCGTCGTGCATGTAAGCCGGGTAGGTGGAGAGGTCGGTGCGCTTGAACCTCTTCCTCCGGCGCAGAAAACTGCCGCTCTCGAACATGTCCTCGGCGTTGGGGTCCAGCGCCCAGTAATTGCCCTTGCCCGGGCGGCCCGGCTCCCGGGGGATCTTGATGAAACAGTCATTCAGGGTGAGGTTGTGACGGATGCTGTTCTGCCACTTTTTGGGGTTGTCCCGGTAGAAAGGGAAGCGCTCCGTGATGAACTTGTAAATGCCTCCCAGGGTCAGCTTCCTGTCCGGGGCGTGCGCGATGGCCATGGCGATGAGCGCGATGTAGCTGTAAGGAGGCTTACCTCGCTGCAGGGGCCTCTTTCTCCTGCGCCCGCCGCCGCCGGCCTTCGCCACCGGCTCCCCCAGTTCGCTGAGGCCCCCCGAGGGCTCACAGGCAGCGGGCTCCTTCTCTACCTTCACTACCGGCATCAGGGGGAGGCTCCGGCCCGCAGCCTCGGCCACTGGCGTGGGCGGATGCTGCAGGCCCCTGTCTTCGGGGCGGTCTCGCTGGGGAGAATGCCGTCTCTCCTCAGTCATCCCCTGGGCCGGGCCTTGGCCACCCAGCTCCCCTAGAGGAGAAGTGGGGGCCCGGGCCCAGGCGCTCGGGGCCTATCTGTGGCAAAGGGTGCTGTGGCAAGAGGTGCAGCCCAGGCCGGTGCAAAGAGGCCGGACTTGGAGAAGGTTACGTTACAACTCGCTCTCTAAGGGGAACCCGAGGTCCCAAGCGCGGAGGAAGCTCAGTATCGGGCACGAAGCCGCAGTCCACAGGGTTCTTTAAGTTTTGAGGGCTGGCCCAGAGTTGTCTCACCTTGCATCAGGTATGGGGCGGCTGGCAGACAGTCCAAGGAAGCTTTTGGCTCGGTTTGGGGTTTGGCGGGAGGGGGATTTGAGGGAGGATTTCGCAGCCAAAAAGTTATTGCAGGCGGGATCCGGTGCTGAGGTAGGTTCTCTCTCTGCAGCCTTCCATTTCCTACTCCGATCTCCCTCGCGCCTGCTGTCCACGATCACGATCACGTCAAGAGGCGCAGAGGGCCAGAGCTTGCTCTCAGGCCTCTGGAGATCTGGTGAGTCCGAGGCGTAGAGGGATAGTGTGTGCGGGACCCATTCCAGGGTGGCGGGAAACTGACACCACTTGACAGCTTGCTCCTCACTTATATTTTGCCAGGCGAAGGGTCGAGTTCCCCTTCTCTGCTTCGGCAAAGGCTTCTCTGTACCTGGGCAGCGGGCACTCCCCCTTTGCAAACACCAACCAGCTCCTCCCTCCTTCCTTCTCCTCCTTAAAGACACAGAGGAGCTCAGGGGGCTGTGCAGCTATTCCCGCCTCCCGCCCACCTGGGCTAGAGCTCACCTTTACTGAAACCGTATTGGTGGCGATGATGTGGCTGCAGTCACAACTGCTCAGTGGATTCCTCCACACAAGTCTACCTCGCATGCCTTGTCTTGGGGTGGAGAAAGCCTGAATTCTGCAAGGCAATGCCAACGAAACGCAAGCTCTGGCAGGTTCTACCTAAAGCCGGAGAAGTTTTGGGTATAGTCCTGGCGACAGGCTGGGGCTGCTGTCAAAGGACCTGGCTAGTCAAGTCCTTGGAAACCTCGTCTGCAGAAAGTTGTCCAGTAGGAGAGGAATACTGGAATTCTTGGGCTGTGGAGACTCGTGGGGTGGGGTGGGGGAATAAAATGACAAAACAAATACATCAGCACGGAAATTTCGGGATGTCTGCACACTCATTTAAAGAAGGAACGAAGGGAAGGATTAGGGAGAATATATGGCACTGTGAAAAGTCCACCGGCTCTGAAGTCAGAGGATCTGGGTTCGAATTCCACCTTTGAAGTTACTACTAGCATTACCTTAAGCAAGCCCCTTAACCTCTTTGGACCTCAGTTTCCTTATTCACACCTGAAGGGTTGCTGAGGTCCCTTTCAGCACTATATTATTGATTCTGAATAAACAAGCAAAAGCCGTGGCCTCTTTGTTCTGGAGAAGAATAAGAAGCTCTAAACAATGGGACCAGGTGTGAGGGAGGGTAAATAGAGTTAGGATGGCTTGGAAAGTCCACTTAATGGGGGTTTGCCGACTTCCATCCCAGTTTCCGGAGGACTAGTTACCCCCTTTCACGCTCTCCCTAAGCGCAAACGCACAAAATACCTTACACTGCAAATCTGCCTCTCCCGTGTCTTAAAACAAGTCACCGAAGGAAAGCACGGGAAAAATGCCAACAAATATCTCTGAGAACCCTCTCTCTTTGCCATACGTCCCCATGTCCCCCAAAAGAGGATGCCCGCACCAAGCCGGTATTTCGGGAAGGGCCGGCGGCCTGTGGCTTCGCCTGCTTCAGTCAATCCCTGAAAATGAAGAAAAACCAAGTGCGTCCTGGACTCGTCGCATCCCAAATGAGCACTCTGCTCTCCGGGTGAGCTGCATGTGCGCGCGGGTTATCGTGCCGTTGATAGTATTTGAGTTTGGGAGTTTTGGTGAAAGAATATAGGTGCGAGTCCGGGAATTGGTGGATGGGGAGGAAGAATCGTCTGGTAGATCCACGTGCAACATTAGCCCCAGTTGGAGGCTGTGTCAAAGCAGATTCTAGGTTTTTCTTCATGGAATTTTTCTCCCTCGATTAACTAATGTCTTGTGAAAAAGTCTTTTTCTTCCTTGGGAAATTTTGCTGCCCAGAAAAACCTCCTAGATACTTGTCGCAGCTACGTTTCTTTACCCTGGCAGTCCTAGTGGTGATGGGATTATTTCTGTCTGCGCCTACCAGTCCCACCCCCAGCACTCACACGCTCCCCTTATTTCCATGGAGTGCAGTGGGGTGAGTAGACTGTATCTTAAAGAAGAAATTAGGAGAGTTTCTTTTTTTGTCTGTCCCTTGACGTTGAAGTAAAGAGCAATGATTGCCAACTTGAATGTCTTTAGTTCAACCACGTTATGCAAATTGTGAGATTCTCTGGGAGAGCGTGGAAGGCCCCCGGACTGACGTGGTAGCCAAGTTTGGCCCGAAGGCACGGGGCGGAAAGGAAACCACAGTGTAGTTTTAGTTTCTTGCTCCTGTAAAACTTCCTTCAGAATATGTTAAACAGACAAACAAAACAAAGCAAAAACGATTTTTGCTTAAATGTCCGATAAAAAGTTTTGACCATCGCTTTCCCGATGAACTAAGAGGTTAAGTATACCGTACTGTTCCCAATCCCAATCAAGCTGGTTTATATTTCTTAAGTACTTAAAAGCTTCTAAAACTGCACCGTTAAAAAAACAAAACAAAATAAAACAACTGACATGAAATACATAGAGAAATAATGCATATTATTCTTTTTCTTTCATATCTGCTGGTAAAAATTATATTTTTTAAGCTACAGGTAAAAATTCTTTTTTATCTTTACTGTCAGAAACCCTGCCATTTGTTTCAGAACTGAATCTTTACTACTTACAGCTTTCTACGAAGTGGTAACTCTTTGACAAACCATTTTAATGTTTACTTTGGAGCTGACTTTGGAGAATTTGAAATAAAATTAGTGGCATCTCAAATTCACTGAGTTATCTAAAAATTCTCCAACATTTCTGAGTCTCGAAAAATGAGACTGGCCCGCGTCTACAGAGGTGCGAAATCCAGGGAGAAGGCGTTCATTGGACAAAGTCACGGAACATCAAAGCTTACAGGTCATCTATTGCATTCACCTCATTTTCAGAAGAGGAAACTGAGGTTCAGGGAGATAGTGATTTATCCGAAATCACCCAGCGTGTTTGCGTATTAGAACCTGGACCTCCCGCCTGACTTGTAATCCTGTGTTCTTTGCCCAACAGCAAGCAACATCTTCACCCAGACCCAATAGCAACAACTGTAACAACAACCATTTCTTCAGCACCTACTACTTGCAAGGTTCTGCACTATGTGCTAGGAATTAAAGAGACTAACACGATTAGATTTTATAATCTCTCATATGAAATGTGATGCGTTTGCTCATGCCTTGTTAGGAAATTACTGTTGAAACTCTATCTCATTGCAAAATTATCTATTAAATCTTTTCCTGTAGAGATTAGATTAAGGCAGCATTGAAAACAAACATGTTGAGTTTATGAATGAAAGAATGATTATTTGCCAAGTGGGTTTTTAACTCCCGAAGGGACAGTGTTAACGCATTTTATTGTTTTTATCTTAAATATGACCGATTTGTGCCATTCGAGGAGGTGACTCTTCATATCCATGCAGAGGTTCCTGTGAATATCAGCTGAAATGCAACTGTGGATACCATTGCCACTTGAGTGCCTTCTTACTGAGGAATCCCCAGGTACTGCTTTTCCTCCTTAAATTTTTTTTTCAAAAACAAAAATCCAAAAGAAAAAAAAAAGAAAATCAAAATATTGAGCCTGTCCTAATTAGAATACTGTCATTTTGAAACTACCTCCTCCCTTTTCTTAAAACAAAACAAAAATGAAACATTTTATCAATAGCAGGAATTAAAAAGTATAAAAAAAATTCAAACAGCCGTAGGACAGGTTTTGGGGAGCAGAATAAAGTCAGCTATTACACTGGTTTCTAAGAGTGTCCCTGCCTCTGAACAGAGTACACAGTTTCCTCATTTGTTATACCTTATAGAGGAAATTTCTCACCTTACCTACTGTACCACACCACATAAATGAGTCAGTACTATTATTTTTATTGTCTTTCCTTTCAGAGAAGGCTAGGGATTCCACCTCATTTTCTTTCCAGTGGAGGCCCAAAGTAAGCATTTTAATAAATGCTATTGTTTGGTTAATAGCTAGTAGATTGATGGAGGAAGATGGTTTCTCCTAGCTCTTCCCAGGAGATAGCTGAGGCAATACTTTTCTCCCTTATTTCATCTTTCACATTGCCTGTGGCTTGGAGGCATGGTGTGAGTAGAAGACAGGTCTCCTATTAGAAAAACAAAATCTAAATCAGGAGACTATAATCTCTTTGTTAAGTTCCTCCTACCCCTTGCCCATTGATCCCCAAATCTCCAAAGTGTTAATTTCAGGGCAGTTGTGTTTGCTCAGGCAACTTCATGTTGAGTTCCAGAGCAGAGAGGAAGGGAAAGGAAAGAGGGTTATATAATATTTGCAGAGAATCTGGAAAGAAAGGTCCAGGCTAAGGGTCTTCTCATTTCAGGCTACCCTGAAAGAAAGTCTATTGCTAACCTACCTCTTAATTAGTAAAAGAATTTGGCTCTACACCAACACGAAGGGAATGTTGTACTATGAGTAAATTATTTTTTAAACGCATTCTTGGGGGAGGGGGGATAGGGGACAGGACCTAAGTTTTCTGAGGTATCATCCACATTTGCTCAACCAATTACTGTGTTTAGATAACATTTTATGTTCCATTTTTAAAAATGGGATTTGGTGTGGTTGAGGCTTACTTGGGAAAGTTCTAAGGATTATGGGGATGTAAATAAACGTGTAATGTCCCAACTCTGTTCCCTCTTACTTCCAACAAGTATCAGTATTTCTGTCTGTTCAAGCCACCAGAGTATGGGTGGAGAATCTTTCTGAGCCCGAGATTTCTTTTCCCAGACCTTAGCCC